AGTTCAATTAATTGAAATTCAACCATATTTATATAGCACAAAATTACAAAAACAGTCACCTCAAGGCACTTTATATTGTATAATAAAGACACTACAACAATAAAGAGAAACCCCAACGTTCAAACAACCCCCTTTGAGGAAGTTCTTGGTGACAGTGGGAAGGAAAAACTCCCTTTTTTCCTGGAAGAAACTTCTAGCAGGACCAGGCTCAGGGGGGTGGCCATCTGCTGTGACCAGTTCAGGGTGATGAAAGTGTTAGTCAAACGAAAGTGTTAATGACTGTTTTTAATGAAGAGCTTAATAAAGCAAGAAATGGGTACTTCTCTATTTCAATTAACACAAATAAGCACAGCCTTGGAGCTCTTTTTAACACACTGGAGTGTTTAAATTCTGTAACCTTTAATCAGATTATGGTGTTGATTGAGAAAAGTCTTCACTTTCTACATTTTTTCAAGTCTAAAGTTAAATGACATAAAATTCTAAATAGCAGCTCTTCATTCTTTTATTGGTGTCCCTGGCTCCCAATCTTATTTAATGACAATCTCTATGGATGAGCTTTTAAATACTGGTACAACTGAGTTGCTCCTCAAGCTGTGTCCATATGATTCCACAAAATTTCAGTTAAATGTCACTGCACCAAAATGCTCGGAATGAATAAAAAATGTATGTAAGGGAAAACAAATAAAGGTGTAGGCTTTAGCATCCATCCATCCATTTCTTCTGCTTATCTGGGGTCAGGTCACAGGAGCAGTAGCTGAATCAGAGAAGCCCAGAGCTCCTTCTCCCCAGTCACCTCCTCCAGCTTATCCGCTGAAACACTTATCCGTACACTTTGCTTTTAAGGTCCCGGTATACCCGCCCCAACTATTTTTTAAAAGATTTTTACTCCCGCAGAAACAATTTGGAAATCTGTGCCTTCCTACTTGGACCTTAGACACTGTTATCAGGTTTGCTACAGTAGACTTTTCTTGAATTGGTTGTGCAGGTTTCTCTCTTATCATTTTGTCACCACTTTCTCCACTTGTGAGTCTGTTAGCTGGAGCGGTTTGGAGCAGAGTATGAAGTGGTGAGTACTGGGACCTCCGAGTCTGAGGCCTTTGGTCTCAACCGGGAAAGAGTGGACTGCACACTTTAAGTCAGGGACGAGTTGCTGCTCCAAGTGGGAAAGTTCAGGTATCGTGGAATCTTGTTCATGAGTGAGGGAAGAGGGGAGTGGGAGATCAACAAATGGATTTGGGCTACCACTGCAGTGATACAGATACTGTACCGGTCTGTCGTGATGAAGAGAGAACTGAGTGTGAAAGTGAAGCTGCTGGTCAATCTTCGTCCTTACCCTCAACTATGGCCACAAACTTTGCATAGTGACTGAATGAAATTGTGAGTACAATTGTCAGAACCCTTAGACATAGAGTTAGGATTTCATCCATTCTATGTGGAGGAGTAAAGCCGTTGCTCCAAAGATTTCCAAAACAAATTAATCTCTAGAACAAAACATAACAACAGCATCATAAAAGATGTACATCCAGTCATCCATCTGTAATACTCATACTCAATGTATCACCTTCAAACTCTCAAAGCTAGTGAAGATGTGCACTATTTGTCCTGTCAGACAATCAATGAGAGAGCCAAGTTCAGCCAAGTTCAGCTCTGGCAGTAAGCTAATTGATTGCACTGGTCTGATTTTGAACTGCTGCTGGTAGTTCATTTGGGCCACTGTGCAGTAATCACTCACAATAGATTATATTTCATCATCACGTAGTGGCTCAGTTATACCCTTCAACTGAAAAATAAATCAAGTACCTGTAAACAATAAGGATTGGCTGTCTATTGTATTATGCTCACTAAAAACAACATGTGCTGAAGTTACATCATGTGCTAAAAACGTAGTTTTTCCTCTAACATCTTTTGCGGTGACTCAATCAGAAGTTTGTTAAAGTTGTGCTTTTTTAAAAAAATCTGACAAGTTATAAACTTCATAGGTAAACATTTACAATTTACCAAGTTCTTGTAGTCTTGGTACTCCGGAGGCACTTTTCTCATATCAATATAAAACTTTCAGTTGCTTAGCATAAGTGGCCATTTTAACTTTGAACAGGATGACAATTTTTCATTTATTAATTTTTTTTAATCCTGTGAGTTCTTGAGAGTGAGGACAAAACTTCATTTGGGGCCTCTGCACCTTCTACAACCCTCCCACCCCACCCCAATATCTGCTGCAGATGAGGAGATCAGCAGGGTGTGAAATGGCCATGGTGATTGCTCCGAGGCCATAGGGCCTCTAGCCCATTCACAGCCTGTCAACTCTCTAATAGAGCCAGAGGAGATTGGAGACAACCCCACAGTTACCAGTGCTACCCCACCATCATTATTGCCACCATGCTGTTAAAAGTATAATGCGTTTTAGATATGGAATGGGTTTTCTACCAGTTTCCTACAGTATTTAAGAATTAAATAGATGTTCCTATTCTATTTTAAGTTTGATCTCAAGGGAGAAGGTGATTTAGTATGGTAGCCCTTCCTTTTAAAGTCGCCTTATTATTACGTACCAAGTAAAATATGGTAATTTATAGTGTAGAATAGAACAGATAGAAGTAAAAAATATCAGAGCTATACCAAGACAAGGGATAAGAGAAACCAAATAAAAATTATATTGTTTTGTTTTTGGATTGGATGTTGACACAAATTCTAGTGAAGTAGCTGCAATTGTGTGAAAGAAGGGATACGATAATTAAATTAATATGACATTTTTGCTCTGACAGCAGCCCTTAAGCAATTATTTTTATAGTGATGATGAAAACATACAAATTTGAATTGTATTATAAAACAAAAGGAAGTGTATGTGAACTATTCCATCAGATAATTTGGACTAAGTGAACGAAATCTTAAAAGGCTGACAGATCACTGACATTTTGTATCTACTGTGACTGTGCAAACTTGAGTCTTGAATTAAGAATGAACTGCCGTTAAAATATGTCATAACAGAAATTACTTGATCTAAGAATTGATTTAGTTTCAGAGTGGCCTTCACAGAGTAAGCTGTGCATAGCGGACAAAAAAGTGGGCCAGGCTTCTTTTTGATGTGTGGAGTGTAAATACAGCCCTTCACCCCCCTTCCTCTAATTGTAACTGTGTTGTTTTCATATTGTTGAGTCTCAGAGATGTATAATTTATCACACAAATAATCTGGAACAAAACAAACTCTCCTCTCAGCTCCCGAGAGCCCGAGCATCTAATGAGTTCACTCCATAAAATATTCATACCTCTGCAAATTATACTATCACTTTCCCTGCAATATACACAAGTGCACACACACACACACACACACACACACACACACACACACACACACACACACAAAGAGCTGTCCAACATTCCATTGGATATAATGGCAGGTTGTACAACCTTAAAAGCTCATTGATCACTGTCAAACAACAACAATGTATTCTTTATTGCTTTACGTCTGTGACTTGACTTAATAAAGACATCAGTTACTCATATTGATCCAGATCTCATTTAAAGTCTTCTCAAATGTTTGGACCCTCATCTTATTGACCAGGGTCATGCAGACGCCAGTGGTATTTTTGTGTGTTATATTTCATAGGTGTGGGTGTTTTTTTTTAATAATTTCCTTTTTTTAAACTTTGCAAATCAGTTTGTATCTCATAAAGCCACATCATTGTTTTCTATTTCTGCTTTGATTAGTGCTTGAAAAAATGTTCTGGCCAGATTAGCGAACCTGAAATTGATAGTTTCCAGGGAAAGGAAAAAACAGGGACTATACTTTTTCTCAAAAGGTATTCAAACACTTACATTTCTGCAGGTGATTAATCCAAATTTGCACTGATGAGTTTTTAGATAGTGTACAATTAGAAAGATTTAATAGTAGTAATTAGGAATTAGTAGTAATGTTAATACCTCAGACATATTACCTTGAATTAAAACAAAATTTTTAAAAGAACTTAAAAATTCATCTCTCAACTAAGGTTTTATACTTTTTGGTTTTTGTCCTGTAAATCAAAATGTTACAGCAATAAACAAATAAGATTTTACAAAAGTACTCTTTTTTTCTCCACCCTGTTCTTTTCACCTGGTTTTAGATTTTCTCATGTTAGAAATATGAGGAAATATTATTTCCAGGCAGCGGTAAGGTTGAAGGTGCCATTTTCATCCAGTCACAGCCAATTATGACCTGGCCATCAAGAGATGAGAAGTGGAAGAGCAGGGAAAGAAATCAGACGAGGTTTTCATGCTGAGAGCCTGCCACCCTCCACCAACACCTATTTCTCTTCGAGGAGAGAATCCAAAAATCCAAATCAGGAAACCATCTCTCCTCTTTAAAAAAATTCAAATGCCAAGGGGCTTCTACAAAAAGCCCATGTGACAAAAGATTGAGCACTTGCTTCAGCATCATGGCGGCAGTGAGGGAATGACTGAATTTCATTAAGATAGACTTCAACACTTTTGTCTCATTAGCAGATCAGGAATCAGGGGACGAGGCAGAAGGAAACTGCACTCAGAGTGATCACACAGGTAACCACTTGCCCAAGCACTTGTTGATTGGTTAATTAGTGTGTTTTCAATCAGCCAGCTCTTGCAGCGCACTCCCCCATAATTAAAAGGTAAAAAGAAGGCTTCTAATAAAGCCTGCAGCTTCTTCTCTTTTACCCTGTAATGCTATTATGGTAAAACCTAGACTGAATACAGTGAGGAGTAATGCACACACATAAGTTAAAGTATGTATAACACTATAAGGATATGTGAGAATACTTTATGAAGTTTATACTTGATAAGGTTTGAGCTGGCAAAAAAAAAAAGTCCTATTTAGAGATTTAAAAAGGACAAGCCAAGAAAAAAGACAATTATAAAAGTGTTTGGTTACAGTTCATTTCAAAGTTTATTGCTGGATTTACAATCAGTCATACAGGTGTAGCAGTTGAACAGCCAATCATAAGAGGAATACAAAGGCTTAAATAGGTGATTGCAGCCAGGTGTGGGGACTGCTTCCTGCCATTGTCCTGGACTCTGGTTCGGCTCCCCTGTGGGCTGAACTGATTTATACTTTTGCCTGGTGAGCTGAAATAGTGGACTTTTTAATAGTTTTACCCACTCCAGTGTTTTGTTTTGTACTGGTATATTTTCATTTAGTAATTTGTAGGTGCCATAGCTAACTTATGTTTTGTTTTTTCAGGAGCACTGACTGCTGTTTATTCTGGGATTTATTTATTTATTTTTTAGCTTTCATTTGAAGTATTGTTTATTTAGCTATTTAATAACTGTGTTTTTCATATTTGTTGTTCTGTCCTCTTTGTTTTTAGTGCTGTGGCGGGTGGCTGCCTCCAGCTCTAGGCTTTGTTGATATATTGGGAGCAGTTTGTTCACTAATGGAATACTCCAGGTATCTCAGCAGTGGTTGGTTTTATTTATTTATTTTAACTACATATTTTAGCAAAATTCTTAATAGCCAGTTGGCAAATACAAATGAACTGAATTATATTAACCCAGTTTTCAGCATAATCCCTCACAGCTCAGACTTATGCAAAGTGCACACTAAATAGATTTTACCAGAGTTCTTGATTTAAAAACTTATTTTTTTTTCAACTAAAGGCATCACTTCAGACTAAAGTTCCTTTCTGTGTTTTAATTTCCTTTTTACCTCGAAGAGGAAGGAATTAAACTTGGCACACTTTGTGACACCATGATTATTTTGTTGTAGCTGCGCTTCTAGGCAATAAATCTTATGCTATTGGCGTTATTTCCCTTGAAATTGTGGCACATTTGTAAGGAAAATGCATTTTGGGGTTGAGCATAAGATGTGTGAGTGTATGCACTATGTCTATGAAAAACGTGCACAATCTTTCTTTACTCTGATATTGACTTATGTTCATCATTTATTGGACTGGATGATTAGTCATATTGGCAATATAACAATTTATTGAGTTAATGGTCCCTCTGCATGTAGAGGAACCACAAGTATGGAACCACCTCCTGATGGTTACCCACTGTGGGATGGCATCTCACCAGAATAAGATTGTGTTATGTGAACTTGTGGACTCAACATTAGCTGTATTGTCCCTGTAACAAGGAAAATATTGAAAGTGGGTTGTGTTTTTAACCTTCCAATCCCCCAGAATTTTTAGACTTGAACAGTCCTCCACATCCTCCTCCATACACATGAATGCACATTCACGTTTATCCTTGCCTCTTGGCTTAAGTGAAAGAAAACAAAACACAAACTTCAACAAAAAACTGTATTCTGACAACGATATTGGTTAGGGCTCGAGTGATGCTGCATCAAACACCATGATTTTTACATAATAAAACAGGAATCCAACTGGTGCTGACAGGAAGGAGATTTCAGCAGAATTTGTCAGAATTTTAGAGAGACTGTTTCAGCTTTTTAGATTTCACTCTGGAGAAAATAAGTTTCATGACCTTCAACACAAACAAACAGATGCAAGCTGGTTGATTCAGCCAGCATCGTATATGCAGCAGTGGCGGCTGCATTGTTGTTAACATGTGTTAGGTTTATTGATTAGCTAGAAATTGTTAATTATCCATCCAAATGGGTAATTAACAATTTCCAACTTCAAAGACATTTAAACCCCTGGACCCTGCTTCTAATTGAAGGATAACGAGTCATCAGAAAAACATTTGAGGGACGGCTGTCAAAACTGAACCAGCAATGATAATAAAAACAAACGGCAGCTGCAGTTTGAAGAATGGAGCAGAATGACTTTTCATTTGTGTAATCATAGTCTTTCAAAGTATTTCTTTTCTTCTTCTTCTTCTAGTGACTGCATACTTGCAGTGCAAATGAGTGCAATTAAATATTGAATGAAATTATATTTTCTCACTTGAAAAATTAGTGCAGTAATTTGTGGAAATGGTTCTTCCTTCTTTTGTGACATTTCAGTGCTCAGTTAACACTTAAATTGGTCAGACTTCATATTGAAGGCATGTGGGAAAAGGTAGTGGACCTGACGTTAAAATCAAAAACAACATCCACAGCAGAGTTGAGGTCAGGCAGACTTTGGAAGTTCCAGCTCTTAAAGAACAACTTCTATCCACATTATCAGAAGAAGCATGTGTCTCTATAAAGTAGTGCAACTTTGATTTGTGTTGTCAAACAGTGTCATGGTGATGTAGTATATTGAATGAATAGATGACTTATCCCTGTCCCCAAATGGCTACAATGCATTGAGTTCTGCATTTATTATTCTTGTTTGTGTTAATAAGACATTTCCTTTAATCAGTTAAGGTGCAATGGCTCCATCTAATGGTCACTTGGTGATATACAGGGAAGTTGCTGAACTTGTTTACTCAAATTTTTATTTTCAATATAAAAACTTCTCAGTATAACAAGTACTATAAAACCAGGCAAACAGCCTTGATTTTTTTTTTCTTGAAAAATGTGTAAAAACAAAGCCAGAAGACATTCGGATTGATTTAATAACATATTTTAATTTCAGTGTTTTAGTATAAAAATCCCACCAGCCTGCTGTCAGCTGGGTTCCGTTCCCTGTTAACTGTGGTTTTTCCCAGAGAATCAGCTAAAGTACCAAATCTATTTACACACAACATCCACATTCAGAAGGACCAAAGAAAACAGGAAGTCTACCCACTGCTACCCTGCCAAAATAAAACATCAAACACTGTCACCTCACCCTTCAGATTTAATGCTATCAATATGGGAAAACAAAGACTGACACAGGTAAAAGAGAAGGGGCTTCTATGTGTGACTCCTAGTGCACCTGTAGTATTTTCTTACTTTCTCTATAAAGTAATGCATATACATTTTTGAATTTACAATAAATTAGTACAGGCACATTCTCTTCTCGCCTACAGCTCACTCCAGGTTGAGAAGGTGATTCTATGACATTTTTACAGAAGACTTTAACTCATCACAGCAAACAAACAGGCTAAAAACCTGAAAAAAAAAAATCTAATAAAACCCCCATAAAAGATAATTGGGGGACCTGTGGGCAGCTTTTTTCTCCTTTGTTTTGGTGTGAATGATGCACTTTGGGCATTTTAAACTTTGAGAGTTTTATAGATGTTATATAAATATGTACAAACAGTAAAAAAAAAAAAAAAAAAGTAGTCCAGTAAAAACATTCAGAATTTAAAAAAAAAAAAGAAAAAAAGCACACACAAAAACGCATTAATGCCAAAGATGAGAACTTGAAGCTTGAGAACTCAATAACTTACAAAAAACGTACAAAAGAAGGTGAAATAAAAAGGTTCAATACAGTATGCATGTTTGATTTTTCTCTGTAGAGATAGCACCAGCAGAAATCCCAACACTGTCAGTGCTGTTGACAGCGCGGATCATCACCTCACTGTATAAATATCAGAATGCTGTGTACCAAAACTGACTGAGGGAATGAATAAATTAGTGTCAGGCCTTGTACAGGATATTTACAGGAGCTGCTGCTGTCACACACAATGATGGACAATTTCATGGCAGTGAGATTGCAGCAGTCTTGCAGCACATTTAAGGAGGTCAGAGGCCAAACTCTGCCACATTCAACAGGTTTAGACCTGCTACTTTTCAGTCCTCGCAGCCAAGATTTGATTTCTTTTTTTTTTTTTTTTTTTTCCCCTGTCAACTTTTTGAATCCACTAACAAAGACGTTTTTCATTGCATAGCTCTTGACAAATAAGAACAACTGTTTCAAGCTACAGTATTTCAGAGAGGTGGAACCTGTGTGTGAGGAAGGGTGGAAATGATTTGGTTCCAGTTTGAAGGACATAGTAAACAAGATGTGTTTGTGTTGTGCGTATACAGCAGACACCGTGTTCTCTGCAGTGACAAAAACATGATTGGGAGATGGGAGGATTCTTGAGGTGGCGGGGCTTCAAATCGTGACACCAAGGCCAGTGTTCGGCTCGAGCTCTCTAGCTCGGTCTAGATGGTTCATGGCTCGATCGAAGGCGAGTCGCACAGATTTTCGGACGGAGGACGACCGAGCCTCCATCAGCTTCATTCTGTCGAGCATCTTATTGACGCCAAAGGGAGCCATTTTGGATTTAGGAAGCCATTGCCTGATGAGAGAGAAGACCATTTTGGAAAATGTTTTCACATGTGACGAAGTGGAGTTCCTTTCAAGACCTTTTGTACAAGACACAGAATGCAGTTCAGCATCTCTTTCATAGTCTGATCAGTCTAAATTGGTTTTGTTTTACATATATAGTAATAATTTGACATAGGACAAAAAAAGGTCTGTATTAAGTGGCTAATGTGTTTTGTTTTCTGTCTCAGAAGTCACTCTTAAACAACATCAGTACAAAAGTAAATTTTTGTTAAAGTGAAGCTTTCCTTTTTTCTTTTTTCCCCCTCTTCTCCCAAACTAGGTCTCTGGAAAAACTGTTTGGGGACCACATCACAATAGTTAAGTTTCCTATTATGAACACATTAAAAAGCTGTCATTAAGCAGGCTACAGTGACTCATACATTGGCTAGCCACAGATATGACTGGTGGAGCTCATCGACAACAGCAGGAGTAGATTAGAGTGGATCAAATGTTGCTTTCCAGGTTAAATAGGTTTCAAACGTACAATCTGTCTTGATCACTTGTTTTGTTTAAGCAAGATTAATTCAATCCCAGCTAACAGTGAAAGAAGTTGGCTGCTCACCAGCTGCGCCTGCTGTCGAAGAAGTGGACGAGGAAGAGTTTCTCTGCGGACCTGAACTGCATCCGCTCTCCGGCTCTGAGAACGTCCAACGGTGGCTGGGGAAGCTCCACCCCGCTGTGCCGACACATTGTCCTCCGTGACCTGGGGTCCATGATCTGTGAAGACCAAGAAAATGGAGCGGGACACTGAGGGAGGCAGACTTCTCGCAGGAAAACGTGTGGCCAAAAATTGGCACCTGGAGTTTGGGACTTTTTTTTTTGTTTGTTTTTTTTTTAATTTAAATGGCTGGCTGAAAACTTGCAAAAATACTAATTTGTCTTGATAAGTACATTACTTTTGGTTTGTTTGTGTTATTTGAACAGCCCACTAACATCACCAAGTCAGTGCCATTTCTGTGAAGAGTTAAATATCTGCTTCTGCCATCAACTCCACATCTAAGCTGTAAGTTGTCCACGTCTTGCTTGGGGGGAAATCTTTCTGTAAAAGGTACTGATAACTGAGAAGTCCAAAAAAACTATTAATTCCAAATGGCTCAATTCCTACTGAGCTAGATCAAATAATTCAAAATGCAAAATTAGCTTTGTCTCCACTCGGAAGTAAAAGAAATAGAGAAGATCTAAACAGTTCTATAATTACTCCATTTCTATTTCATTCTTACAGTAGATGTGATGTTTTAATGAATGTTATTTTTTTTGGATGGGCATATTTGAAAGTGTTTTCTGCATTAGAAAAATCTGACCCTGAGCTTTTTTTTCCCTAATTCTCATTTCACTCGTTTCCATTCTAGCTGATCAAGTAAAGCTAAAGACATTATTTGTAGCCCTGCTACAAGTTGACTACTTGACTTACATTTTATGTCTAATTGCAGTGACTAAAAACACCCCAGTTTGTTAGACATTCAGACTAAGGAGTTAGCAAATATTATACCAATTAAATACAGAGTACTGTCTTTATTTTTAGACAGTACTGTGTGAGCAGTGTAAGTCTTACATGACACTGACATTGTGCCAGCCAAGTTATTTAGCTAAGGCTTTTGACAATGTAAGAAATAAATTACATGCTTAACTATAAGTGGACTTGATTTTTCATGTTGCTAACTTTAAAGCTTGTAACTAAAACTGAAGGATGCTGTTTCTATACAAACTAACAGTTCCTGTAAAGTGACTTTCTTTTTAAGTGACACTGATCAAAAAGATCTTTGTTTCTGACTTGCAAACTGTATTTTAAAATCATATTAATGAACTTAAGCTCTTTAAAGAGACTATTCTGCCCAGATTTGCAAGGAGCAAATTGTTGTTATATATGATGATGTAATGTATTTGCATTAGACTGCCTCTGACCTTAAACCCTTCAGCACAGTCTCTTTCCACCCTGTCATTGGTAACAGGGGATAGATTTTAGAATGCATGTGAAAGTTGGGAGGTAGCTGTTGAAAAGAACCTTACTGGATTTTATTTGTTAATTCCACCAAAAAGGGGGATTGGTTCAGTGTTTCTATTTGTTAGCAGATTTACACAAAATGTTATGGATGGGGTTAGCATGACGTTTTTTTGCAGATGTGGGTTCTTGGCCCAACTTAAGTGATTAACTTGTGGTTCAATCAGGAGAAGGATCCAGGCTTTTTGGAACAATTCTTTACCATTGTGACACTTAGCCTTTTTTCCTGGTTCTCAATGCATGTTATGGAGGGAAATTTCATCCTTTGCCCAAGTGGGCAAACTTTCAGGGACTATCCTTTAACTAGAGATCAATTTCACATTGCTCTGCAGCTCCATGACTCACTGGTCCTGAAATTCATTATCCTAATACTAAATTTAGGGAGCTGACTTTTATTATGCTGCACACAAGTGAAACAATCTGCAGAAGCCTGTAAAATTAGGTAAACTAATCCAATGTAATCCCCCATCTTGAACTGACAGTTGTGTGAATGCGTGAGATTTCTTTCAACTGATGTATCTTAAATTATTGCCCTGTTTGTTGACATATTTAGTCACTTCCATGTCCTTTGTGTTTTCTGTATTCTAATTCAAAACACTTGATTTCCAGTATTTTTAAGAAAAAAAAGGAAAAGAAGCTGAAGTGCATAACCTGGTGAAAGAAGGCAGCATTCAGAGAGACAAGCATGCAAGGCCAAGTCAAGCCCAATACACCCAGAGCGAAGCAACCCACACTACACACGACAACAACAACCATTCCACTATCAGCCAGCTGGAAGCTCCTGCGTGGCCATGAGCACAAATTACGAGCTACAGGATGGACAATGGCAGAGGGGCAGATGGGTAATGAGATACAGAGGGGACTAACACTCACTCACCAGGGCAGGGAAGGAGGGATATCCACTACATTTAGCCCAAACTAGTTTAAGAGGCTCCAGAACAAATGGAGAAGCAGCAGTGGGTTTCCACACCTCTACAGGAACAACAACAAGCAAGTTATGAAGGATACACTGCAACAGAGAGCACAACCAATCTCAACGCACACACACCGCCAATAATACTTTCTATTAAGCAGACCATGTAAACCATTTTTAGGGTGTATATCGTATGTATGTGTGGGTACTGGCTCTTTTTTTTTTTTTTTTTTTTAAATATAAATATGTCCGTGTTAATTTATATATTAAGTTCACGTACTGCTGATACTTTTCATCAATGGCATAGGAAATAACTTTCTTTAGATTTGCTTTTACCATTGCAAACACTCACTCAAAAACAAACTGCACACACACTCTCACAAACACACACACAATCAATCCAACTTCCTAACTTCAAGACTGTCATAATGCAATGTTCATTAACGTCGGCAGTAATGATGAACAATGCAGTTTTAGTAGTTGCACCACATCAGTTCAAGTACAATGTAGCTGACGGGCACGAGTGTATAATTCGCTTTGAATCCACAAAGAAAATACCAGTCTTTAGTTCACTTCCACCTCGTCCATCCGCGGTTTCCCGTTTCTGTTGTTCTCCTGCGTTCACAACTTCCTTTGTAGCTTGAACTCAGTGTGAGCGCAGAATATGCTGACTTAAATCCAGTACCTGATGAACCACTTAACCTCAGTTTCAAAACCAGTGTGGAAGACTCCATTGATGAATCGGTGATTTCATGGTTCTGTAGTAACCCCTTTTCAAGGATTTCTATTTAAAGGATTTTTACATCAAAACCTATGACACTCAACATGACTCATTCAACTTCAATTGCTCTGTTTTACACAGGTGTAAAAGTAGAAAAGTGAAGATGTAACATGAAAGCAAGAAATTAATTTAATAAAATGCTGCATGCTTGGACATAAGAAGTATTAGTATCCCAATAAAGAGCCACTCTTTAATTAGTTTAGTAAATGTCTTCAGAAGACAGAAGTAAGAAATGACAAATCAAAGCTTGCCAAGCTGTTTCATGCACACTCATTAGGTCACAATCCAGAGCTGATCGGCTCACCTGAAGAGATCTTTGCAGCTTTGATGAACTCGCCATTTTCAATGCAGGTCATTAGAGTGCTTTTGTCATCCACAGTGCTACGTCGAGCGGTGGCCGGTCGCCCTTTACCACTTTTAGACAGGATAACGGTCCTGAAAGATGCAGGAGCAAAGGTCAATGAGGAAAATGTTTTTTTGTTTTGTTTTTTAAAAAACCCTCATGTATGAGCTGCTGGAATGATTGACTAACAATTATTAATTTTGTCTTCACCAATTCATTTTCAAACTCCAAATCTAGTTAAGCAAGTGAAACCAAAAGAAACCTACTTCATATTATTAAAAAGACATTTTTGTCTTATGACATTTTGTTCCAAATTATTAAATATCAAATTTTATACTTCAAAAGAACTTTTAGTTTTACAAAATATAAGCTAATAGATAATACATCAAACTAGGGGTGGGTGATATATCGAATATACTTGATCTATTGCAAGTTTTCCACGTACGATGGTTAAAACAATTATAAATTGCCATGGCAATACTAGGCTGTCTGCATGGGATTTACTAGGAGTTTTTTTTTCTCCCATGCATCCAATGAATCATTAATCCCCCGCTCCCTACCAGAAATGTTTCTACCTGGCACACTGCACTGAGCATGTGTGTTTATATACTACCAGATAAGGAAAAACATATCGCAGCAGAAGTTTCAGACGAGCGAGGGATGGAGACTATCATTTGGATTTCACAGGAAGGATGCCGTAAAACTATTGCCACTAAAGGTAGCAGCACCACAAATGTATTCCACCAGCTAAAAAGTCATCCACTACAAAATGAAGCTCGTTTTAAACTCCGCATGTCAGCGTCTCCCCACACACCAAAGAAAACGTTAAATAAACCAGCTGTGACACCTGTGACTGTTCTTGGTTAGTTCTTTTTATAGACACTATCAAGACTTTTGTTTCTGTAATTTAAAGTCATCACATTTTTTATTCTACTATTTTTATATGTTATAACCACAAACAAGCACCTTTTTAATTTCAGTCGTTTCATTTTGCCACGTGAGTTTTTTGTTGCTATGATCTTTTGTTTGTTAAACGTCTGGTGTTGACCACAGAAGCAGACTTACTGTGACAGTATTGTCATTTGTGGAAAACCTCTGTGTGCAACTGACGGTTAACTAATTTGGTTTGAAAACAGAAAGTGTCTTGGCACCTTTCGCCTTGGAGGCGCATATATTAATTGTTCTGATTATACTATAAACTTGGTCACCACAATGTTAACACTGGAAGAAGTTAAGGACAAAATTATGAAAATAAGCATAGCCACTCAGGATTTGGTTGGTTCTTTTCTCACTCACCTTGTGTCACAAAGGATACTTCCACTTGAAGAGATGCTCGACTCGGAGGCACAGCGTCGGCGTGGCTCAAGCAAACGGGGAGATTGTGAGACCACACCCTCCTCTTCCACCACAAAACCGTTTGCCATTCCTGAGAGGGATAATAATACAAGAATTGTTTTAAACTCACTGAATCTTTTTGTCACCAGCATTGTTTGCAATTGAAACAAAATAATTAATATCTGACTGGCACCTGTACCAAGGCGTTTGATCGGCGACTCCTCGTCGTCCTCACCATCAGCACTGCTGCTGCGTTTTCTTTTCTTTGGCAGAAGGAGCGTCTCCAATCGAGGTATCACTACTGACAGGAAGGTTTTGGCGCCCAGGGGTGGGGGGGACCCAGAGGAGACCTCTTGGGTCCGGGGTGGTTTCTGTGGGCTAGCACTTTTTGACTTCCGAAAGAGCACATTGGTCCTCCGGTTATAGCGTTCCACGTAGAGGTCACTTTTGGGGAGCAACGACTCTGGGATGTGCCCATTAGGGGTGTCCGATGGCACTGAGGTAGATGTGTTGGTGACGTCCTCAAACTCTGTGGGTGTCTGGTCCAAGGGCTTTGTGAGCTTCACGGGGGTCGGGTCCAAGTCCATAGGCAAAATTTGGGATGGTAAGGTTAATGTCTCTAATGGTGGTGGAGGTAAAGACTTGTCTTCCTGTGGTATACTGGGATCTGCCAGCAGTTCTCGTAGTGGTTGGTCTTCAGATTCAGCAGGAGATGGGCTGGGATCTGGAGTAGAGGGTTGTGGTGGCAGGGAATTCTTCAGGCTTATCTCACTGCGGACCTCCGTGATGGTTTTCTTGAGTAGCTTTAGCCTCTTGCTGCGGGACGGGCTGTGCTTCATGGCTATGCTCAGGTCCAGTTTCTCCAGGAGCTCCTTCAGCTGATCCTCCAGAGGAGTCTTTTGGCGGTACGTGGGAGTCAGTAAGCGGTCCACTACGGAGGACAGTGACATATAACCACGTCATTATCCTGATTACATGACTATTTTACTATTGAACTCACACTTTCACTGTTTAAATATTTATTATTATTCAATATACTTAAGAGATAACGATTAAAGATAAGTTACTTATCACTTTCAGATATTTATTACTTCATAAAGCACTATAAGCCTACCATCTTCCCAGGTGAATGGCGGTGTTGGCTCCAGTTTCGGAACTTCAGGAAGATGCAACCCACTGGGGAAGTCGAAGCCAATCCTCTCTGCTTCTCTGCGGGCCCTGCGAAGGATGGCTCCGCCATGGTCTTGCATCCGCTGAGCCGCCTTGTAAAAGAAGGTGTCCTTGGCATTGTATGTCATGCAGTTGGATATTATGAGGTCAAAGTCTGCTTCAAACTCCTCCAGGCTCCTGTAGAAGTGAGCATCGATTCTTTTTCTCATGGTGGAGAAGTCAATAGGGTTCTTGATGATATCCAGGTAGTCAGGTACCTGCAGAGAACAGAGAACAGACATCAGGTGCAGCAGTCTAAGAGGAGGAAGAAATTCTGGTTCACGATATCCCTTTTTCAAAAGGCACGCTGGAAGGTACTGAGCCTTGACCCTCTAAAGCTTGATTTTTATGGATGATCGGTTTGGGCACTAGTTTCAGAACTTGGATGTC